ACCCCAACCAAGAGTCTTCTTCTGAGGCTATTCTTAAGTTTCCTGAAAGTCTTTCCTTTGCTTTCTGTGAGATTTGGAAGGATTGAGGTCACTCAATTTTCCCACCGTCATCATAAAACACCAATACCAAAAATGCTCACCTTTCATCAAACTTGACAGCCCCTTCCTGCCCGCACAGCTCAGTGAAATCCCCCAACAACTTAAAAGGTAGCATGCCCCTCCTTGAAGTTGCCTAGGCTGGGAGTACAGATAGGGGTCTTGGCTTTGTGGAAATTTATGTCATTCCAGAGAAGTCGACATTACTTCCACCAACGTCAAAGATGCAGCTGATTAATTGCAGGCATGCTGCAGTTTCTCTCATGCCAAATGCTAAGTATTCAATACAGCCTGACGACCCAGAGGACATGTGAAGAGCTCGTTGGAGCCAATAAATGTAGTTAATTAAAAAAAAAAAAAAATCAATGCCAATTTCTCCAACGCCTCCTCTTTTACAAAGGGAATCTATTTTCTTCTCTTGACCAACACAGGGTGGGAAGGATTCAAGCAGCACTGCCTCCCTCTTCTGACCCTCTAGGTTCTCTCCAGTGACAGAGTCCCAGGAAAATGCCAGCATTCTCGGGTGTGACAAACACGCCACCACCACCTTTGCTTCCCCGCTCCCAGGGCAGCTGGGCAATCACACTCTGCTTCTCTCCACCCAACTGAGACCACTTTCTCTAAGTCGAAAGGGCACTTCACACCTTCTGGTGGCTAACTTCAAGAGTTCCTCCAATTAAAAAGAAAAAAAAATCCCCATTCAAACCACCCTCTCCACCAGCTGCCTGGCCTTTCCTTCCTCCCCTTCCCAGCTTAACTTCTTGAGAGAGTTGCTGCCATTCCATCATCCACCCCTCACACGGCGCCCCTACCACCGCGCCCCTATCCGCTTCAACCTGGCTTTGGGGGACCATCGTGCCAGGGCAACACTTCTCACTAAGGTGCCCATGAGAAACAGTGCTCCGTCCCCATGGGGCTAAACCTCCCAAACCGGAAGCAGAAAGGACCCATTTTCTTTTTTTTTCTTTTTTCTTTTTTTAAAGATTTTTATTTATTTATTTGTCAGAAAGAGAGAGAGGGAAAGAGAGCACAAACAGGGGAAGCGGCAGGCAGAAGGAGAGGGAGAAGCAGGCTCCCCGCTGAGCAAGGAGCCCGATGCAGGACTCAACCCCAGGACCCTGGGATCATGACCTGAGCCGAAGGCAGGCGCTTAACTGACTGAGCCACCCAGGCACCCCAGAAAGGACCCATTTTCTAAAGGGAGCTGCAAATAAAGGGGCAATACCCCCACACCGAAGAGATGGAGAACTGACTGCTCCCTGCAACCACCTCTCCCCCACATCTCCATCCCCCAACTCCCAAACTAGGAGAAGGGTAGAGGAAGGAACTCAAGAGTCTTCACGTCAGAGTCTTGGCTTAGGGCAGAGTGCTGTCATGTGGGGGTGGGAGGGGGGAGGGAATGAACAGACTTTGTCACAGAGACTGGGAATGCCCGCAAAAAGGAGAAACTAACCCCTCATTCCCCAACCCGATGCAACAACAAACATGCTGATTTGCTCTGTCCCTACCAGAGCAAACGAAAGGACAACTGCAGAGAGATGTCAGGACAGAAAGAAGCCTTAACCCCCAGTTCTGCTTGCTTCACAGAACACTGACGAAGGTGACCAGTTAGAACATGTCACCAGTACCCATCCAAAAGGGCTTCCTGCCAGGACAAGGGGATCCCAGCACCAGTTACATTAGAGGCACTTAGCTTCACCCTTTCCTTCCTCCCCATCCAACATAGGAGATTTGGTTGGAGCCCAGAAGAAGGAAAGGGAGGAGGGCTCCCAGAGGCAGACCATCCCCCCTCCCCACTTCAGGTCCCTCACACCACAAGCCTGGCCAGTGATAAGCTCAGGGAAAGCCTTAAATCAAATGCCTGTGATTCTCACAGTAGTATTCCCAGACATACCCAAATAAGTGGCACATGATAGGCTTAATCATTATTTGTTGAATAAATGACTGAAAAGCTTCTTCTTAATCCTTGCCCTCCTTGTCCTTTCTGCCTCGTTTTGTTCATTCACTCCAGCCACAAGTATTTGTTGAAGGTTGATTCTATACAATTTAATCATGGAAAGGCGATTAAGACATGTCCCCCGCCCTCCAGAAAGTTACTAGAGAACAGAAGCGAGTACAGACTTGCATCTGTCACAAGCACTTGTGGGAACCACGGCATGGCAGTGATACAAAGTACCAAAGACATTAACTCAAAAATCCAAACCACCCGCTCAATATACCCTCCCAGCTTTCTCCTGTCAGTTTACATACGGAATTCTCATGTCTGCCTTTTCAGTGAACACTGGTCTTTTATCCCTCCTGCTAAAATGCATTTACCCTTAATGTGTCAAGGGTAGTGGTTAACACACCACCATCTATGTGTGATATCCTGGAGAAAGCCAGGAAAATCCACATTCCGTGGATCTAGGGTAGGCCAAAAAGATTTCAGTGCACAGCCTTGGATGAGGCCCTGGAGAAATGTCAAGGTACGTATGGCCTTTCTTGGAACACCACTGTATGTGATGCAGCACAGAGTAAACGCTCTAGGTTTAGGACAAAGGTGATGCCAGTGATGTACATTTCCCCTCAGCATCTTGCCCACAGAAAGATGGTCATGCATTGTGGAGAGCCGAACCACTATACCACCTACCCAGAAATCACATGGGATTTACAGGTTGTTTATTAGCCGACTCAGAATTAGCATTTAAAGTCTCATATTTGCAGAAAGCAAATCACTCTATATAATCTCTAGTTCCCTTGTAATCACTAACTTACAGTCCTTCAGCAACCGTTATTGCTTCTCACATATATTTTTGACAAGAGGTTGTTTTTTTTATGACCATTCTTCACCATTATTAGAAAATAATATATGCTCAATACAAAAAAAAATCTAGAAAATACAGCAAAGTTGATAGCAGAAAAAATATCATGCAAATTTTTTACCAACCCTGTTAATATTTTGGTATATTTCCATTTAACCTCTGTTTGATTTAATAGCTATTTGGAATTAATATGCCCCATAAGCCAACTCTGGTAAAAATCACCAATAAACTAGGATATAAGTGCCATCTGTAATCTCTTCCAATTATGAACAAGGTTGGAGTTGCAGGACTATAACACAACCAGTAGATTCAACTTTAAAAGCTTAAATTCAATGGAGGGAAAATTGGTTAAGTGGGCTATTTAATACACATATAGATTATGGAACAGAATAGACAGCCCAGATATGGACCCTGAACCCTACGGTCAAATAATCTTCGACAAAGCAGGAAAAAATATGCAATGGAGAAAAGACAGTCTCTTCAATAAATGGACAGCTATATACAGAAGAATGAAACTCGACCATACTCTTAGTATACATACACAAAGATAAACTCAAAACGGACGAAAGACCTCAATGTGAGACAGGAATCCATCAATCCTAGAGGAGAACATAGGCAGTAACCTCTTTGACATCGGCCACAGCAACTTCTTTCAAGACATGTCCCCAAAGGCAAGGGAAACAAAAGCAAAAATGAACTTTTGGGACTTAAGCAAGATATAAAGCTTCTGCACAGCAAAGGAAACAGTCAACAAAACAAAGAGGCAACCCACAGAATGGGAGAAGATATTTGCAAATGACACTACAGACAAAGGGCTGATATCCAAGATCTATAAAGAACTTCTCAAACTTAACACCCAAAAAACAAATAATCAAGCCAAAAAATGGGCAGAAGACATGAAAAGACACTTCTCTGAAGAAAACATACAAATGGCTAACAGACACATGAAAAAATGTTCATCATCATTAGGCATCAGGGAAATTCAAATCAAAACCACATTGAGATGCCACCTTACACCAGTTAGAATGGCAAAAATGGACAGGGAAAGAAACAACAAATGTTGGAGAGGTTGTGGAGAAAGGGGAACCCTCTTACACTGCTGGTGGGAATGCAAGTTGGTACAGCCACTTTGGAAAACAGTGTGGAGGTTCCTCAGAAAATTAAAAATAGAGCTACCCTGTGACCCAGCAATTGCACTCCTGGGTATTTACCCCAAAGACACAGATGTAGTGAAAAGAAGGGCCATATGCACCCCAATGTTCATAGCAGCAATGTCCACAATAGTGGAAAGAGCCAAGACGCCCTTCAAAGGCGAATGGATAAAGAAGATGTGGTCCATATATACAATGGAATATTACCCAGCCATCAGAAAGGATGAATACCCACCATTTGCATTGACATGGATGGAACTGGAAGGGATTATGCTAAGTGAAATAAGTCAAGCAGAGAAAGACAATTATCAAATGGTTTCACCTATTTGTGGAACATAGGAATAGCATGGAGGACATTAGGAGAAGGAAGAGAAAAATGGCGGGGGGAATTGGAGGGAGAGATGAACCATGAGAGACTATGGACTCTGAGAAACAAACTGAGGGTTTTAGAGGGGACGGGGGTGGAGGGCTTGGTGAGCCCGGTGACGGGTATTAAGGAGGGCACGTATCGCATGGAGCACTGGGTGTTATACGCAAACAATGAATCATGGAACACTACATCAAAAACTAATGATGTACTGGAAGGTGACTAACATAATAAAAAAAAAAAAAAGTGGGTTGTTTAATGTATGTATGCAAGCTGGCACTCTTCACTTTTCTATTTGTCTTTCCATGAGCCCAGCACTTGGAGTAAGTTTGTCAAAGCTTTTGGGAAACGATCACTTCAGATATAAACCCCGTTAAACAGAAGTTCCTCTGATTGTTCAAAAAAGGATAATTTCATGGGCAATTCTTAGAGGCCCAAAAAACCATAGTGTTAGCGGTGGGTTTTTTGACAAGTATACAATTGCCATTATTTGTCAAGATATTTAAAAAGGATTTTATTTTCATCCCAGTCTTCCATTACAGACATGCTATTCAATGATAGCTAGGAAAAAAATTATGGGCTTACCTGATTAAGAAATCATGCAGTCCAACATCAAAATACCTGTTCAAAAAAGACACAAACAAGTATGTCAGTAAAAGAAATGTACAACAATGGTGGACTTGACCAAAAATATAAAATTTACATTCAGAGCATGGTGAATCAATCAATCACTCTCTAACAGTGGTTCTCAAAGTATGACCCCTGGAGTGGCCACAGCAGCATTACCTGGGAATTTGCTGGAAATGCAAACTCTCAGGCCCTGGGCGCCTGGGTGGCTCAGTTGGTTAAGCGACTGCCTTCGGCTCAGGTCATGATCCTGGAGTCCCGGGATCGAGTCCCGCGTCGGGCTCCCTGCTCGGCAGGGAGTCTGCTTCTCCCTCTGACCCTCCCCCCTCTCATGTGCTCTCTCTCATTCTCTCTCTTTCAAATAAATAAATAAAATCTTTAAAAATAAATAAATAAATAAAAATTAAAAATAAATAAAATAAAAAAATAAAAAAACCTCTCAGGCCCTACACGTCAGCATACTGATGCACAAATTCTGGGGGCGGGGCCCAGCAATTAGATCTGACAAGCCCTCCAGGCAATTCTGATGCAGAACCACTGCTCTATGACAGCAAAAGGGTCTCAGAAAGACTATGTGCTCTCTCTAGAAAAAGAAGGCCATAAAAGTAGATTTCACCACTTTGCCAACAGGTGAGTCCTTTTGTAACACTGGTCGTCTCAGATGTTCTCTCGCTCAAACATAAATGAAATATTTTACAAGTACAAAACCATGCTGGCCAAAGTTAAGAACAGGGGTGGGGTGGGGAAGGGTCAGCTCTGTCCTTCCATGTCCCTCCCAGCCATAGTCCCTGGAGCTTTTAACCAGAGAGCAACCCTGTCCATAGCTGGGTCTGCCTTGGGAGGGAAGGGAGGAGAGGTGCTCCATGCACATGCTGGTGAGCCAGCCACTGTGCTTAGCCTCACACCGGGCAGCCAGTAAGCACTGGGCAGTGGTGGACCCTTTCAGAGACAGCTTCCCCTTCCACCACCAAACTGGCTTTGCCCATATGAATGGCACGGCCTTGGTTTCTCTAATTAGCTCATTTATTCCCCCTAAATCTCTGACCACTTAGCCAGGGTCCTTCTCTCCCCTTTGGGTCTGGCTGTGAGCAAAAAGACTGGGTGGCTGGAACCATGATGTTGCTGCCCACCACACATGACCACTACTCCTAACACCTAGATGGTGGTCATTGTGTCCCACCCAACAGACTGGCCTCCCGGGTTAGCGATCTGTCCGAGTAAAGCCTGAGTTAATTCTGTCCCTACAGACAATGAGCAATAGACACAAAATTCACTCTACAGTGCGGTCTGACTGCCGAGGGCTTGACTGTCCCTAGCTCCCAGCTTCAACCCTCCCCCGTCCCTGGAACATCCCAGCATGCCTGGCACCTCACCTGACATAGAGCAGATGATTACTGACATTAAAATAGGATTCCTTTGGGTCCCTTTAAATAGCAAGCTTCCTTTATGTGCTCAAAATCTGTTTACAGGTCATGGACACAGGGCAGAAGAGAATAGAGCAACAAAGCCAAAATATAAGGTACCGCATTCACTGTGTCACTTACCTGAAGTCATCACATGATTCAGGGAAAATTGAATTCAAGATACATAAATTCCACTTACTCATAAGTCTTCTGAAAAGAGCTCTAAAGGGAGATGTACCTGCAGGGTTAGCTGATTCGTTTCAGTTGATATTACATTGACCTGAGGAGATGCTAAGTTCTTCCTACAATCATATTTAACACAGATTTTTGAAAAAAATGAAAAACAGAAATGATCCCTCCTGTCAACCAAAACCTCAGCCACATAAGTAAATATTCATATGACAGATAGCAATTGCAAGTTTGCCAGAGTCTGCAATATGGGAGATACAAGTATGTTCAGATTAGAACAAAGATTTCAGCTTCTTTCATTCATCCAAAACCTAATCAGCCTTTTCAATGACATCAGCCACAGAAAGCATCAGATTCTGTTGCTGGAATCATAAGCATAAAGTAGACACAGAAAGGAATCACAGAGAACCACAATATGGGAGGGAGGACGAAGACTCTGAGGGAGTAATGAGAAACCTAATTATATTCATAGAAATGATTATTTAGCATGTAGAAGGTGGCAACTACTCTGCTTGGTGCGCGCATACACAAGCCATTGCGGTGAGGCTGGGACTGACATCTCCATTCATGCGTGCAGGAACTAAAGCTCAGAGGCTAAGTAACTTGCAGTGCTCACAACTAGTAGGAGACAAATCTGGGAGTCAAACTGGGCCCTGAAAGCCATGAATTGCTCGCTCTTCCCACTGAAAAGCACAGGCTCTCACTGCCTCTCGTTATTACTAATTGAAAATGACTTCATTTTAAGAACGGGTCCCTTTCCACCTGCTCTGATTTCTGCTGCTTCCAACGTGGCTGCCCTGCCCCAGGCAAGCCCGCCTGCTCTGCTTCCCAGAGCACACCTGCCCCGCAGGTGCCATCCATCCCCTTGGGTCTTAGAACCAAGTCAGGTTCTGGGAAGTTATGTAACCTCTGGGCTCCAGGTTTTCCACGGGAAAATGGAGATCCCTCACTCATGGAAGGTTATGAGAATTAGGTGATATAACATAAATACAGGGCTTAGCACAGTGCTTGGTAAACCCCTGAGTACTCAATAAATAGTAATCTCCTTCCCTCCAATTTTTAAGAGTTGTTTTAATGGAAGCCCAATTCCCAATAACTCAGTAGGAGAAGGAAGCCACATAAAAAGGAAATAAGAGGTCTCACTATGCAGCCCACGAAGAGAGGTCACTGAATCCAGGACGCAGGCAGGGCCTGAGCAGTGGAGTAAAGGGTAGTACAGCTGGAAAGGTGAGGGACAGGCACAGAGCTTAGGAAACAGGCAGGAGAGCAGGAAGACCAATTATTCCATGGAGGTCTCATAGAGAGCCTTGAAGTTGCATGCGAGAGCCAGTGGGGCATACAGAGGAGCGGGATCTGGCCGCCAGGCAGGGAAGATATCCTCCTGCCCTGGTCCTGACCGGCATCTCAGTAAGAAGGACCAGTACACACTAGTGCATGTCCAGCTGCACCTGTCGTCGTGGTGTCCCCTAAACTTTAGGGCCTAAATATGCAGAAGTAAGAGATTGTGATGCATGTGTTTCAGAACATTTCTTCTTATGAGAACATGACTGGTCGTGGGTGGAATTTGGGGCCAGGACAATGAGGGTCTTTAAGCATCCTGTGTAAGGCAAGTTTACGATGGAGAATACTATAATGAGTTAACAGTCACTTGGAAACCAGTGGAATGGAGAAGGTCAAGGATGGGGATTAGCATCAGAAAACATACCAGGAAAAATGTAAGGGGAGGAAAATGGAACTTCCTCACAGGTATTTACATCTTACTCCTTTGCTACATCAATTCATCTGTGTGGATATTCATTCAACAGATATTTTGTCAGAGCCTTCTAAGTGCCGGGCACCAATGTAGCCCTGGGGATGGGGGCGGGGGAGGGGGGTGGAGAGTAACATAACAAGGTCCTACTTCTCACGGCACTCACAGTCTAGGTGGGACAGATGAACAACAAATAAGCACTTAGATAAAGAAGATAACATCAGAGAGCAGAGAATGCATACAAGGTGACAGGACAGAGGGGTGGGCCACACAGCCGCTCAGGGAAGTCCTCTCTGACGAGGTGACATTTGGGTTGAAATCTGTATGGTCAGAGAGGATGAGCTAAGCAAAGACCAGAGGGAGAGTGTCCCAGGCAGGAGGACAGCTGGGTAAAGCCCCGAGGCGGGAAGAAATGTGGCAGGTTAGAGGAAAGGATGAAGGCCAGCAGGACTGGGACAAGCTGAGGTAGGACAGGGGGGCCGGGACCAGATCTGAGGAGGCTGTACAGAAGAGTTTGGGCTTCATTTTAACAACAATGGGAAGCACTAAAGGGTCTTTAACAGGGGAACGGTATTTTTTTCATTTGTTTAAATTTTATTCATTTAGGGGGTGAGGGAGTGGTATGCTTTGATTTATGTATCAAAAAGAACACTCTGGGTGTCCCGAAGAGAAAGGATGGGAACAGAAGCGGGGTGGGGAGCCATGGCCGTCTAGCTGAGAGGTGATGGGGATTCACCCCAGGATGGAAACACTGGAAATGAGGGCGGAGACAGGGATGGATTCAGAGAGGATTCTGTGGTTGAGTACAAAGACTTGCTCACAGACTCACGCAGGATGGGGACAAGGAATTGAGGGAAGGAGGGAGGGAGAGAAGGAGAGAGGGGAAAAAGAATCTGCAAAAGAGCTGAGGGCCTCACATCACGCAGTTTCACACCAGGCAAACCAAAGGCTCCGCCAGGCCTTGGCTGCTTCTGGAGGCTCCACAGTAATGCTTGGTGGCCCGCATCCACACTGAGGGGATGACGATGTTCTGTGACTGGCTTAACTTGGAGAACGGCTCACCTGCTGGAAGAACTAGAAATCGTGGCGATGGTTTGGGGTCTTTTTAATGGATTTATTGTGGTAAAATCCACATAACACAAAACTTCCTCTTGAACCATTTTTTATGTGCACAGCTCAGTCGCATCGAGCACACTCACACTGTTGCACAACCATCACCACCATCTGTCTCCAGAACTTCTTCAACCTGCCTCACATGAAACACCAGGCTTCCTCTGTACCACGGTAAAGCTGATTTGGGCTCCTTCCAAAGGGTTCAGGGGTGCCCCCTCACATAGGGCTGTGTCTTTAATTTCAAAAGAGAAGCCAACCAATGCAGTCTAGAAATATCTTCTCGCTTAATTTTCCTGTATAGATGTAAAAGCCGCCTTAAGGAAATACAGTAAAAAGGGAATATGCTTTTCTTTTCTTATTTTAGAATTGTATGCCAAGCTCTGGGCTAGGCCCTCTGGGTACTACCTCTTTTCGTCCTCCCCACCTGCCAGAGTAGATCCCTGCTTTATAAAGCCTCATGTCCTTATCCCCTATCACATAGCTAGTAAGTTGCTGCGTCAGGATCTAGCTCAGAGTACCAAATGCCAAAGTCTGTGCTT